AATTATCCATAATATACAGGTATACTACAATAATATACAGAGACGGCCTATAATAAGTGTATAATATCATATATAAGTACCTACGGTGTACTATATTATAAGCCCTCGAGTATATAAATTATAATAATATGTGTATGTGCACAAGTATAATATATTATACACTCGGACGATGACAAGGTACTTGAGAGGAAAAGGTGTATGTTAGTAAAAAATTTGTCGCAAGCAAGTCGATAATATACCGGGTGTTCGATAAGATTGGAAATTGTATCCGAACAACACTTGTCACCTGATGTAAGTATGTGTATATTATTAGATCAGCACCGAGACGGTATTGGAGACGGCGCTTGGCCATTATACTATAGGTATAATATATATTGTAATTAACAGGATTATATTGGAATAACACTTGGTGGGTATAACACACAGTGGTGTTCAGCTTATTAATACGATTATTATTATTCCCGGGACGCCACCGCCGCCGTTGATTTATTCAGGTGACCTTCACACTATATAATATGCAAGTACACCGCGTTGAATAAATATAAACCGCGTGTGTGTGTGTTTGTGTGTTAATCGCGGAATACATTATAACAATGAGCGACGATATTATTATTATTATTGTATTTTTCTTAGGTGTTGTATTTTTTTTTCTTCACCTTTTCCTCCTCCCTCCCTCCGTGTGTGTGATATTTTTGACCGGACGGCACGCGAACTCTACCCGCAATTTGCCATTATAATACTATACTGCACACGCCGTTGTCGTGCAATATAGGCTAACCCTTGGGAAACGTCACCAGGCCGCCGGTCCCACGTGGAGTCGATGGCAATCGAAAACGCGCTATGTCGTGTCCAAAAACGATACGCCGAAAGGGTGAAATAAATTTTAAAAAAATACCATATTTACCCACCTCTATAATATTATGGTTGGTTCTGTTATGGTTATTTTTTTTTTCACTTCACGAATAATAAATTAAGCTCATATATATGCTTGTCGTACGGAAGCGCACATGTCTCTGCTGTATGACTCTTGCCGAAGAACGGTGCGCGCAGGTGCGACGGAAGCGGCTCTTATCGCGTACGTTAAGATAGTGATCATCGCACGGTTTATAATAACACTAATATGGGACCGAGCGAAAAGAATATTAAAATAAAAAAACAGACCACATCACAATAAAAAAATATTAACCTCACCACACTCTTAAAAAAATACACTCTGGTCTGTCGGTTGTCGACTCGGCGGACACGCATCGGGCACACGATAAAGATATATAAATGGGTAAGTATTAATTTAAAGATTTATGCTCCTTTCCGGCGGACCGAGTCGCACCGCCACCGCACAGCACACCGTGTTATTAGCCCATTAAAAACCCGTATAAAAAACACACACACGCACACACGGGCGCGCGCGACAAGTCTCTTTTATTATATACCAACATTTTTCACCTATATCATTATTATTATTAATGTCCCCGCAAAGTAAACATTGTTTTCAAATGCGCTATCATAATAGCCGGACACGGGCCGCAACAAGCGCAGAAGGACTTCCCAGAAGTAGTTGGACGCGGAAGGGACGTTGACTTGGAAAATTCAAAATGCCTAAAAAGGGTTAGGCGGGTTTTTAGCCCTGGTTGAAGTATACGCAGGTGTCTCGAGAATTGTTACTGTTACTTTACTTACTTTACTATGTTATATTAACTGTGTTCATTTGATTTTGATTGGTTAGTCTTAACGCTGTGTTTTTATCGTCGAAGAAGAGCTGTTAAAATATGTAACATATTTTATATGTACTGTATTAACGTTGTACCGCATGGTCCTATTTAACCCTGTGTTGCGTTATCACTGCGTGTATAGCCGTTAATAAACACAATATTATATCAATCGTAACACTGCTGGTAACACTTTGATTTGACCCTGGGGTACAAACAGCAGCAGCAGCAGCAGCAGCAACTCACAATACTGTAATAATTGGCATACACTGACAAGGACCGCCGGGCACCCCGCCGCTAAATAATATTCCTGTATCAGCCGCACATGATGCGCACAATCGTCCGCGATGACACGGCCTTTGTACACACAACAAACGTATCAATCCGACCGCGTTATCTTTCAATTACACTGTAATTAATCTTGCCCGTTCATTGACTGCTGTAATAGGAACCGCAAAATTTGTTCGTCTAAACAGAGCTGTTGACCGAGGCGCAGAGAGTGTCCGCTTTGTCATGTAGAATAGCCGTTATAAGTAGGTACTTTACCGCTATTGGACATTATTATAATATGTATATTGTGCAACAGTTTTGACACGATCAAAACACTTAACAAAACTGTACATTTCGGTGGTGAATAATAACCAAAAGGGTTCGAATAGTATTTATATATATATTTTTTTTAGTGTTTGACCATAAAACACTATACTACACTTTGACTACCGGTATTTTTTTATTTTCAAAATAATCACACCTAATGAGTGACATAATTTAACAAAAAAAAAAAAGGTTCTAAAAAAGAGCCAAACCAAAGTAAACATTTTCTAGCGTAACATAAATTAATATTGACTTTTTTATGAAAATAGCGAGTACAGAATGTACCTATGTATATGTTATACAATATTTTTTTTGAAAGATTTTTTTTTTTTTGGTCAAACAAAGTTAGATTTTTCTGCGCAATTATACCATATGTCCTCGTAGGCGATGATCACAAGAGGTGACACCCTGTCTAGAGGACCGCAGTTTGGCAGTTATTTGAAGTAGGTACAGGTATATATTATTTATGTAAGTGTGATTTGAACATTACAAAAAAACACTTAACATCATATAACGGGGGACACAGTGTGGTGCGTTTTGTTTGGGTAACCTGTCGATAAACACAATTATGATTACAATATAATATTATGTGTGTATATACCATTTCCACCCCGGCTGTACTACATCACTGTATTATTATATTTAAAACGACGTCTTAATGGTGCGGTGACCTCACCCGACAGATTTTTTCGAAATCACAATAGTCTCAGCCCTGTGCGAGTGTGTCGTCGTTAACAGGTTGAAAAATCTATCAATCGAATGTACACGGCTCTCTCACGATCAATGGGAATCGCGCACAAAGGAGGTCTTATGTGACACGTTAATGGATAAGACCGGTCAAAAGGGTTTTTAGGGGTTGGAGACAGGGGATGGTGTGGTAATCGACGATTCTGATCGCCAGACGAGCTGTTGTGCGGTGTTTTGGACCTTCGACTCCAGTACCATTATTATCTGATAATATAATATAAAACACCGATGCACTTTATCGCCCCGTGTGCAAACTTAGACCGATGGACCCTACATATACGGACGGACGGGATAGCCGTCATCCACTTAGCTGTACACCTCTCAAAACGATTATGTTTTATTATCATCACGAAGTATGTATACAGGTCGCAGAGTTCAATGTGTGTACAACATGTCAATCACGAGTTCAGTTTCTTTTCATGAAGTACAGAAATAAAATTTATACACATATTGACATCTAAATGTCAGAATATTATCAAATATACATACATTATAAAAATACAATAATGATAATTTCATTATCATAGCCGTTATCGATTATTAGCTGTACCTATATATGCGATTATGCCTGTACCCAAGTGAAAATCTAAAGGCCAGAGATTATTACAAAGTATATATACAACCACTGTCTATTATAGACCAAAAGGATTTTCATAAACTTCTTCGATTCTGTCATATGTTATGTTGTACAACACAATAATAATTTTTACTTTAATAGATTGTACCAATATCCTAATATAGTTCAAAATATTTAGTTTATGAACACTAACCCCCCCCCCCAAAAAAAAACTGTGCTGAGTCAACTTAAGTACTGGTGTAAGCAACATACACTCAATACATACTATAAAGTGTACAGTAAATGTGTCAATAAAGTAGTATGATAACTTGTTGGATGTAAAAGTACAGGAAATTTTTTTATACACCTTCATTTTATTTCTAGTTAGAATTGTTTTTTTTTCTTCTAACATTTGAGTTTTTAAAAATAGACACACACACACACATACTAACTCAATTTGACCAAAAAGCAAGATTGCCACAACTAAAAAAGACTAATGTACAGCTTGAGGGTACATAATATAAAATATCACTATATATTATCTAGAAACTTGTGTAACATTATTATTATGTACAACTTGAATCATCTGGCCAATGATGATCAATATAATAACACAATATTTGTTGTGTTGCGTTAAGAATAGGAAACGGTACTATAGTTGAAAAAAAATTCTGAATTTCATGTATGTAATTTTTTAAAGTTTTTTTTTTTTTATTTCAAATGGTTTCATTTTTACCCCAAATATTTGTATACAACACATATAAATTTAATAAATAGAAAAAAAAACATCAACAGATATTGTTTTTGACTTAATTCCTCAATTGTTTTCGTTTTTTTTATTTTTATTAAAAACATAATATTATATATATACGAACAAACAAAAATTACACGTCTCAAAAGTGTTTTTTATTTTTTCTCTATTGTGAGATTTATATATAATATATATAGATAAATAGATATACATATGTGTATGCGTATATCTTTATATATAAATATATATATATTATATATTCGTCTAACTACACAGGTTTTTTTTTTATATATATATATATACACATCTAGATTCGTATTTACAATAAAAGTATACAAATAATATTACTTTTCATCATCATTTATTTTTTATGTTTTTGTTACCAGCTAAACACCTATGTGTATAGTTATACAACGTGTATACCACATAATATATGTATGTAAATATATAAATATCATTATATAAATAATTATATGTATATTTGTTATGTTATTTTTCCCGTCGTCATAACTTTTGTTCGATAAATAAATTAATAGTAATATAACGCTTGTTGTAATTATTATTATTATTATTATATTGATTAACGGCTAATTCAGAGTCGTTTCAAATAAAAAATAATAAAATATTAAATTATCCGGTCGCGGTCTACATTAAAATTATTATAATATAACATATAATTTTTTTTTTTTTTGTATCTAATCATACATAGGAATAATATTTATATCATCGTTTGTTTTTTTATTTGTCTAATTCTGATTGGGGGATGGGTGGGAGCTGGGTGAGGGTCGTATAATTATTAAAACTAAAAATAAATCATTAAAAATAACAAAAAAAAAGAATTAAAATAAATTATAATTAATATAATGAGAAAAACAACACCTAGTGACTTATATTTTATATAAATTCGTTACAAAATACATAAAAAAAAAATTAAAAAAAAAAAATAGCGGAAAATATTTCCGTTTTTTTCTTTTTAACAATAATAATAATAATAATAAACAATATATAATATTATCGTTTCAACGTAAATACATTATTATACATATTATTATTATTACTATTATTATTATTATTGATAATATTTTATAGATCTCACATTTTCGGACTTGCCCAAATTATAATATATTTTATATAGATAATATATTATGTTATAGGTGTCTAAAATATATATTATTATTATTGTATGACGTTTTCCGAGTACATTTTTTTTTGTTATAACGTTATTGTTTTCTGAATAAAAATAACAGGGGGGTGGGTTGTGATTTATTCGGGTGGACCGATATTAATATTATTATTTTATATAATATTATTTTCAAGGGTGAAATAACACGAAGAAAGACTGCGAGAGAGAGAGAGAGTGAATAAGTGAACATCGTCTTGTGTCGGCGGGTATTTGTATATATTTATATATATATATTTTATATTTTTCGGGGTAATTTTATTATTACCTTTTTTTTTTCCTCATCTTCTTCTTCATCCGTCACATAAATCACGAATAAAATAAAATAAAAAATAAAGGGGGGGGGGGAGAAACATATAAAATGTATATGAACAAAAGCTGTTGTGAACCGGTTTTTTTCGAAGACTTCGGACCAGCGGTAAAGGTAAGGTACAAGTGTGTAAATAATATTATTGTACATTATACGTGTTACGAAATTTATGTATAGGGGACGACGAATAACCCTTTTCGGTCAAAAGAATGGAATGTTCTAACTTCTACAGTGTGTATAGTATAATATGTTTATATATTTTTTTGTAGGAGATCGTTTTGTACACAGTGAGAGCGAATTTTTCGTTATAGGGGGTGGATCGAGGGATGTGATGTACTGGTGTTGACCGATTGACTAGTTTGTGCTTGGGGGGAGGGAGTGTGGTGTTTTTTTTATACTTAGAATTGTAATAATTATAATATGAACAAAAATTTGATACCTGGACGTTATAGCGCCGAAGATGTGTTATCCGAGGGAGTTTTAACATATATTGTGTAGTTCTATCTACTATTTTTATGTATGTAATTGAAAAAAAAAAAACTATATACGTATCACAGTCGGTGCGCGATAGGAGAGGTGGTTTCCGGTGATGTTGTAGTGTCCTCGTCCTCCAAAGGAATTGTTTTTTTTTTTTTTTGGAAAATTTGCAAAAGAAAATCATAAACGCTTGGCATCCGCATGGCTATGTTGTCGTTATCCCGTTTCGACTGCAGACGTTGGCCCTGTCACACCCTGTGCTCGTAGTTGTATATAGTGGAGATGTCAGTTATGTGTGATTGGTTTTTTTGTCAATATTCATAATAATAATATAATTATGATGTGTTTCCGTTGCCGCCGTTGTTTTAGCGTGGTACGGGATCCGTTTTTCATATTTTTTTTTTGTAATATAATTTTGTGACGATAATAATAATAATAATAATAATAATAATATTAATAATAATGTAGTATAACAATATTCGTATGATTTGTACGCGTTTTGTGCAACCCAACGAAAACGGTCGTGTGACCGCGGCGGTCGTGGGTTTTTTTTATCGTTTTTATTTTTATGAAATAATAATCGTTTGTAAGTCGAATTTGGTTTTTTCACCGTGTGAAAAAGTCGCCCTTCAGCGAGACGTTGTTCGAAACAGTAATAAGTACTACTACGTGCATTCCTGGTGCTGCTGCTGTTGCTGCATTTTGGCCAGGTGCCGTGAGTACTCAACGTCCCACTGGGCGAAACGTTAATGGGCCGCCAGCGACTGGTGGTTGCCGATGGGCGACAACATCGGCGGGCTGTGCGAGTGCGAGTGCGGTCCCATGGGTGACCCGTGCATCTGGTCGTGGTGATGGTAGCCCTGGTGCAGGCCGTGGCCCATGGGGCCGCCGCCGCCGCCGTCCATCATGCCGTCCTGGGGCCCGCCGAGCGTGTTCGGCGGCGTCATGCGCTTCTCCTTCTGCCGCCGGTTGCAGAACCACACGCGGACCACTTCTTTCTCCAGCTGCAGCGAGTCGGCCAGCGACGTGATTTCCTGCGCCGACGGTTTGGGCTGCTTGTGGAAGTGTTGCTCCAGCGCGCCCTTGACCGACACCTCGATGCTAGTGCGTTTTTTGCGCTTCCGGCCTTGCGCCGCGATCTTGTCGATGCTGGTCGGCGAGCCCGTCGTCGAGTCCGCCTCTTCCAGCCACTTTTGCAGCAGCGGCTTGAGCTTGCACATGTTCTTGAACGACAGCTGCAGCGCCTCGAACCGGCATATGGTCGTCTGCGAGAACACGTTACCGTAGAGCGTGCCCAGCGCCAGACCCACGTCGGCCTGCGTAAAGCCCAACTTGATCCGCCTCTGCTTGAACTGTTTGGCGAACGCCTCGAGGTCGTCGGACGTGGGCGCGTCCTCTTCGCCGCCCGGCGACTGCGGGTCGACTTGCGGGTACGACGGGCTGTGGTGCATCTGCACGGGATGCGTGTGGCCCAGCATGCCGTTCATCACGTGGTACGCTCCGTGGTGGCCCAGTTGCGGAGACCCGGAACCGCTGCTGTTGTAGTGGCCGGTGGACACGACGGGCGGCGGAGGACCGGAGTGCCACGTCTGGGTATTACCGCCGTTACCGCCGCTGCCGCTGCCGGTCACCACCCGCATGTCCGGCGGAGGTTTGATGTCGAGCCCTTGGTGCGGATGGTGCGGATGGTGTTGGTGGTGGTGCATGCTCATGGACGCGGCCCACGGGTCCACCCAGCTGGCCGCGGCCGACAGGGACACCGGCGACGGGGACGTAGGAACTTGATGGTGGTGGTGATGGTGATGGTGGTGTTGTCCGGGCGGCATGTATTTCAACTCTCCGGCCGGATGGTCTTGGCCGCGCGGCGACGGCGACGGTTGTTGGTAAGGGCCGCCCGGCTGATTGACCGACATGCCTCCCATGCCGTCCAGGTCGCCGGGCCCCGGGCCGCCGCCACCGACCGGCAGGTATGTGGTGGCCATCACCCGCGCTTTCCAATCACATTCAACCGACGCGCCCCGAACACTGCGCGGGTAAATCGTTAAGTCCGTAATTGCGAACGATTTTCGTACACCGGTTTAAAAATGAAAAATAATAATCCACCCCGTTGCGGCGCGCACTCGACGATTTAACGAAAAAAAAACCGACGTGTCGTCCGATTATTGTTCTGTCCGTTCGTTCTGTATACGAATAATAATATCATCAATAACGACGAATTGTCGAAAAAATAATGTAGGTAGTCCAATGCACTCGACACTCGCCGTGTATTTATTTATTTTATATCTATTATAATAATAATATAATTATTATGTTGCCATGAGAAAAAAATCACACAAGTCACACACACGCGCGTGTACCGTTCACATAGCGACCGGCGCGCAGTACGTATACGGACTGATGATCCGGTGGCGGTCCGCACTGAGCGTCGGCCCGAGGTCTTTTACCCCGCGATCCGCGGCCCGCCCGCCAACCCGACAACGGCTGGGCGTGTACGCGACGGCCACCGCGGTTGGGCCCGCGTACCCGGCGACGCGCCGCCCATCCGGGGCCGGGCCCCGGGTCAGCTGACGACGGGGCGCCCCGGCGGTAAACACAGTAGCCACGGCAACGGCATGTACCGTGTTTTTCGGCCGCCGCCGCCGCCGCCGCCGTTGCCGTTGCCGTCAGGGAGCGCCACTATTGATTGTCGTCGTCGCCGCCGCCACTGCCGTCGTCATCGTCGTCGCCCGTCGTCCCGCGGCCGCGCACACGCGCCCGCCAGACCCCAACGTAAATGGATACATTATCGCGACATTATCGTACGAACACCTACGGCATCCACCGCGCCGCCTCTGCCGCCCCCCGATAACGCTCATGGCCCCGCGGGACGCAACGTCATTGCCAGCGCATCATCGACGCGTCTCCAATAACAATGCGCTGCCAAATTGATTTCTAAGCTTTTATCAATCTATTTGTACCTACCTACTACTCGTTTTTTATTTTCACATGACGTTGTCGAGCAGTTAAGCCGTTGGTTTTAAATAGTTATTAATCGACAAACATTTCAGCTAAGACGCGGAACTGTTTTTTTGTGTTTTTTAAATGTATACATTGCAACCTTTTCGGTTTCGCGTCCAATCCGTCTAATGTTGTATTGATTTGTTATTACATAAGCTACGTCTAAATGTGTTGTAATTATTGAGATATCATCGGCACGTCATGTATATCCATTTTGTTTATTAATAATAATATGTCTGCACCCGTTTATGCTGGCGGTGTTGGCGCCGTCCACCCGAATTATAATATTTGAATACTATTAAGTATACACACACACACACACATTACAACACTCATTACACGGATACACTATAACGATATAGCTATTAAATTAATATAAATAACACAACCGCGGTATGGTTATATTTTAAACGAGTATAAGTATGTATGTATGTATTAGTCGGTCCTAAACATGGTCACCTAAGGGGAAATTCAAGTAGAAGTATGTATATTAGTAAGCACGCTTTGGAGGGGAGCTTCGCATATGTATATGCAATTCGTATATGTAAATTAACTATACGTTCACGTTTAGTGGATCACCCTGTACATGGTACCTACTTTATTTTGATGTAATAAATCCATCGAGGCAAATTATAAGCGCTACATTTTATATTAATATAAACCTCTGCAATATTATGAAATTATGCAGTACCTATACATATTTTGTTTGTAGTGATAGGAATATTATGGAGAAACCAAAGTAATAACAACGAATAATTTATTGAAACATGTAAGTTTTAACAACAATTGAAAACAAATGACGCTCTATACCTATTATATAATATTTGTTTTGTATATTAACACTTATAAAAATTATAAGTCAGTCATCGAGTGCGATCGGCGTTAAATTAATTTAACATAATTCGAACAACATTAGGTAATAATTTTTTCACCGTAAAACGCAATACATAACACATAATATTATTATGACTGTTTCTGAAGCTCATAGAAATTATATAAGACTTTAAACAATCAGTGTTCAACACAAAAGTCCAATTAAAACAAAACACAGATGTGTTGACAAAGGTCTAAAACGTCAAAGAGCTATTGATTTGTTAACGGTTAACGGCCAAAAGGGAATAAGTTATATTATAATATTAGACCCGTGTAAGCGCAATTGTATAATGTACGCCTTTGTTGATGTTATTATTATTATTATCAAATAAATTACATGTATATAATAATAATAATACAATAGTCGGTTATAATCCCCTTGTGGCGGTCGGTGATTCTTCTTCGGCAACAAAAAGGGTTTCGAAATAGACTTTGACATTGAATACCTACCAGTATAAGTATATGTGTCTCAATATATGAGCACAATATACCTATGTACAAGAGGGGCTGCCTTTCTCGGTCGTCACATCTTTTGTCAACACTTTTGTCTTTCTGAATTACAAACCGCGAGCACATGGAAAATAATATTATTACGTTTAACGTGCAAAGGTCGTAAAACCGACATTTTATACTTAATTTCCCATTGTCAACAATATACACGGGCGAGAAAATATGTATTTGCACGGATATGGTGTTGGTGATCAAAAAAAAAAAAGAAAAAACCAAGACAAAAGGATTGCAAAATAATTGTAAAAAAAAAAATGATGGATCACCCGTGAGACCCGTGTTTGGGCAACAGATGCAGACTTTGAACTGGTCTCATAAAAAAACCTAAAAAACAACACCAACATAGTCAGTGTCACAGTCAACTGTGTATAAAACAGCTAATCACAGTTATTTGTGTATTACATAGGTATGATTTTCTTGGTATAAAATATAGGTAGGTAATGTTTAGTAGTTGATCACATGGCACATATTTTGTTTGTTACCGGCTATTGATGTATAAAATTAAAATATATTATGGTAAAATTACAAACAGCGTTGCGAGGCCTGCGCGAATAACAATGCCCCACACAGCACGTGTGATGTATTTAAATAATAATTATTATAATATAAACAAACAAAATTTTACTGTTTACCGCATACACTCAGCGCTATCTATGAGCGAACCGTGTGAACTGGACTATTGCTCGAGCAATCCGAGAGCGCCACTTCCTGTGTGCGAAAAAACTAATAGAATAATAATTTTGAGTAAAACATTAAGAAATATACTTAATTTTAAACGTCCAAAACAATGTTTCAACATTCATTCTCAAGGTATTGGTTTACATGTTGACTCTATAGGTCAGGTAAGATAATGCTTTAAAGAAAAACTGTTATATTTAACTGTGTTGGATAATAAAATAGTTCAAATATTAAAAAAAAACAGCAAGTATACAGTTTGTTCTAAAACTGTATACAACTAACCCCCTTCGCACCTTTTGTTATCTTTTTCTTTTTGTCGTTAATCCTAAGATTATTATATGTTGCAGCTCTCCGGGCTGTCCCTTCTGCGACTTAATTCTTTTAGTTCATTGTACTCATCCTTCTTCATGTCCATCATAATTCGAATCATATACTCCGCCCTTGACCTTCCTCTTCCCACGTATCCTTTAACATTTTTTTTTTGTGGCAGCTGCTTTTTCAAAAAAAAAATCTGTATTACTCATTGAAGCGATTCCTAGGAGTAGTAATATAATAGTAAATTAGGGGAGGATGTTAGAGAGTTATTTATTTAATTTATATGGAAAGGGTCACCAAAGATATTAATTTGCATTATTAAGGTCAACTATTGTTTTTAATCAACTCTCTTGTCCTATGCATGTCTATTATCTCTTCTAGATCGGATACATTGCCACAAGGACCTTTTTTCCTCTATCCTAGTAGGTACAATACCAATTACAGATAATAATTATTAAACAAATCTACAAATGTACACATTTCACATCATTATCGTTTTGAACGACTATAGAAAGCGTCTCAGACGTGTGACTTATTCTGTTTAGAATAATGTAATCCACAACGACGTGCGAATACCGCAGTCTGGCTGTTGCATGCACACACTTAAACGACATTATATATTATATATACATACATAGTACCCATTGTCCAATTGTCTGTGTTACAGACATGCAAGCGTGATGCATACAGACATGTCCACGGGTGCTTTTGACGGTAATCCGAACGAGCAGACTACATTTTATTAAGAGTAAAAAAAAAAAACCAGGAGGTTAGCCGGACAGTAGCTCGTGGCTAAATTGGTCTCGGGTTCATCTCCGCCTCTTTGATTATTATTATCGTATTGTATCCCGCCCAACTATTAATTTACATGTGCGTGTATGTGTATATATACGTACACCCGTATCGTTAAACTATACACGAAAGGCATTCCGATGATATCCCAAACCGTGTAAAATAATATGGTACGAGATAAAAAAAAAAAATTCAAAAATTATAGTCCTATATAATATCATAAGTACGTGATGTTAGTGTGATCGATACATGCATGCAATTCTGTATATTATACATACAGAACTTCTTATGAGTAACTGATCTATTTATGTTGTATACTGTGATATTTTTACATAAAGTACAGTACCTAAATAAGTACCCACTGGATTGTAAATATTTATTTTAAAAACAATAAAAACACTGTCAATATCGTTCAAAAGCATTGAAGTGAATAGTGATGACAACCAAAAGAGTACAAGAGACATTTTTTTTCTCAAAAAAACAAGTAAATGATCACACAGTAAGTATATGTTTTCAATGACAGAGATCCATAAGAAAATATTGAATATAGGTGTATTGATCATTTTGTTCTCCTGTAAAATGATATAAAACCTTATTATGTGTCGTGGTGTGTTAATTGCCGTTTAAAATTCCCTTAGGTTAGGTTAAGTTAGGTTAAGTTAGCTTGAATAATAAAAGTATTGAAATTATTTAAACATTTAATTGGACCATAACAAATATTGTCTTGTTAACAGAGCACCAAAACCATTTGTATAATTGTATACAATTATTAAAAACAAAGGGGTTTTGTACCCCTTTTACTCTCTTCACTTCATAAAGCTTTAAATTAAGTATATTATGTCTATTCATAAATATTATTGTCCATTAAAATAAAACACAAATCTAGTGTATAAATTATTTTTTTTTTTTATGTATATTATTGATTAAAATTGTAATTTAGACGAAATTCATTAGTCGTTTATTGGCTGTTATTGCAACGACTCTGTCGCGTTGTTGATCTCAAGTTCAACGACACTGTAATTGTATTTGAATAAACCATTAAAAAAAAATTTGTTGTCCGCCGTCGTGTTTTTATTTATTTATTTTTTTTTATTTAAAAGATTCTATTGAGATTTTAATGCATATACTGCGCACATTGCAGTCGGCACTAGACCAGTAAGTCGACTATTTAAATTACCAACAAGCTTTTATAAAATAAAAAAATATATTTACTTAAATAGTCGCATTCCGAGTGTCGCGCTTGTCATAACGCTGGTCATCGGTTCACTTTTT